TTAGAGTCCAATATCTTTCTAAAACTTTAAAGGATGTCAAAAAGGACCAACCATACATGTGACCAGGAAAAGGGCTTTATGATTCAATTTGGGGGGGGGGGGGGGTTCCAGGGTGAAGCTACATTCTCTATTTTTCAACGGAAAAGGAAATTAATAATGCACAGAATATCCGCATGATCAATGTTTTGAAAATTTTAAATGACTCACCATAATATGGATGCATGTTGGTTTTATAACCTCCAACAGCCGTCGATAATGCGTGATCATCAAAACGGAGTTCTTTGGAGTCAAAAGTCCATTCACTGCTTTTGCTACATCTCGAAGGGCATCAACATCTAAGCCAGAATCAATTTCATCTAGCATAGCCAAGTCTGCCCCAAGAACCTATAACATTATAGAAGTAAATATAGAGATGAGAAAAAAAATTAATTTTCTTAGCTTCTATGCATTGATAAAACCCACAAAGCAAACACTCCCAACCCCCACCTTTCCCCACTTCTTCTAATAAACGAAAAATATTTAGAAAAAAAAATGCAAGTCAAAAGAAAGATCATAATCAAGTTACAGCTCATCCCTTTTTAAAATACGGTATTTAAAAAATTTCTCAGACTGAGCATCAAACGATGACTGGAGAAGCCAAATACAGATAATCTTGATTAAAATGCATGTCAACTAAATGCAGTCCCATAAGAAACTTAAAACCACATTTTCTGTTGAAGCACTAAATGTTGAATTTTTTTTCCCTCCAATTACAATTTATGACTATGCCAATTTTTTGTTCCCCCACTGACTAGCAGCTTGAGCATTCCTATATATGACTCTTAGAAACAAATAAAAATCATAAAGAAATTAGAAGTCTTTTTTTTTTTTTTTTGAGAAATTAGGGACCACAAAATTTGAAGATTCGAACTGAAGGATATAATGTTCCCTAGATTTCATGATTATAACCCACTATCTCTCTCTTAGGGGAGAGGGGCAGCATGTATATGAACAGGGCATGTTGTCTATCACAAGAGGTTGGTGACCACCGATCCAAAAGGAGTTAGCCTATATTCTATGTTCTTGGTATGTAAACATCAATGACATGTAAGCTGCGAGCAAAAATTCTAAGTTCTAACAATAACTGCCTTTGCAACTAGCAAATGAAGACAAAGACACCTTTCCATTGATTGACATAAAGATATTCTATTAGAAAATATATGAAATACACAAAACTATTCCACAATGAATTACCGAGAAGAATTTATATCAAATTACCGCAAGCTGCAAAATCTCATTGCGCTTCCTTTCGCCACCACTAAACCCTTCATTGACATTTCTGTTAAGGAAGTCAGTCTTCATGTTCACAAGATCGAGTTTAGGATATATGTAAGCATAAAACTGCAAGAGTAAAATGACGTAAATATTATAATCAATAACAAAATGAGCAAGACTATTGTGCTTGCCTTATACTTAAGAGCTTCTAAATTAGAAGAGATAACCATATAGAAGTAGCCTAGCCTAGCAAATTTTGATCTTTTTATAAAAAATATTATTATTGTTTAAACAGGGAGAAGATGAAGAAAATCTCAACAATGCACTAGCAAGTTCTTTCATAAGAGATGAAGATGTAGAGGGCAGCTCATATACCTCAAGTGGACCAAGCTCTGGCTCACCAAGGTTTTTCCTTCGAGCATTATAAGCCATTTGCAAAAAGTCAATATTATTCACACCTGGGATCTCAACTGGGGTCTGGAACTCATAAAAAGTCCGGCAAGAGACCTTTTCTCCGCTCCATGTCAAGCAAATTCTCTCCCTTAAACACAACACTACCCCCAGTAACCTCATAATCAGGGTTGCCCAAGCAAGAACCTACAAATACATAAGTTTTTACCAAGATCTTCCAACCTAAACGAATTCCATAAAACAGCTGATTTCACCCCAACCTATCTGCGACCAATTTACAACCATATAAGTAGAATTAGTTTTTAAGAAGACATTAACTTTAATGAACAAAAGGCACGCCTTTAGATAGATCTGGCAATCTTAAATACAACACAGTAACACAATAGGAAAACAATAAAAAAGCAACCCAACCATAAATAAAAGATACAAAAGCAACAAAATTTAAAACTTTAGTAAAATCCAAATATGGGTTTGGTAAAAAACCAAAATATATGTTTTATGTTCGGCGCGTTGACACAATTTTCGTGTTTTACACTAAATATACACACACAAGAATACACGAATTATAAGTCTACTTTTAAATATCAATTTGCGGAGTTTTTTAATTCCAACAACAGTATTCCATATTAGTAAATGTTTACACAAGATAAGGAAAAAGATTAAAATTTAAATACATGTGCAAAAAAAAATACAAACCTTAGAAAACGTACTCTTCCCAGAGCCATTCTTCCCCATTATAGCATGAATCTAATCAACAAAAACAAACCATTTTTTTTTTTAAATTCTGGGTCTAATATAAGAAAATTCATTCATACGAATTAAAGTATTAGGGAACAAATTAATATGTTGACCTCTCCATGGTGAACAACGAGGTCGACGCCTCTGAGGATTTCCTGTTTGGTTTCAGCAATCACGGCAGTTAAACTTTTTGTTGAGAATATTGACTCAAATCCCATAAGAGATTTGTTAGAGATTTATTTGAGATTTGTCAGATATTACTTAATGGACAAAAAGACTTGCAAAAGAAGAATTTCAAAAGAAAGATGATTCTTAATAGGTAAGTTTGACTTGCAAGAGAAGAATTCTAAAAGAAAAGGGATTCTTAATAGGCAAGTTTGACTTATAAGAGAAGAATTCTAAGAGGAGAGGGATTCTTAATGGTCAAGTTTGTATGGTTATAAATATGTGAAGTCTCTACAAGGTTAGGTATGAGAAAAAAGATGTAAGAGAGTTGTAGGATTTTATGGGATAGACATCCTATAGGAGTATTGGGGCTCTACGTCTTATAGGTGTGTATGTTTGTTTGTGAGTGGACTAGAAGAGACTGAGAGGGTCCACATAGGTATGATGTATGAGAGCATATGGGTATGTGTTTAGTTATGTTGAAAGGGTGCACAAGGGTTTGAGTTTGTATTTGTTTGGGTTGAGAATACTCCATAGGACTAGAAGATATTGAGAGTGTCTTATGAGTATTGATTGTTGAGTGAGGTTGATGATTTGATGTATGTTTGTAATTCTCTACAACTAGTGGATCTTGTTTCTCATCCGTGGATGTAGGTCAATTGGACCGAACCACGTTAAATTGTTGTCTCTTGTGTGTTTGATTTATTATTTGATTTCGCTTCTGCTGGTGTGATTGGATTGGAGGCTTTTAGCCCAACAAATAGTATCAGAGCTGTGGTATTTCCTAACAAGTGGTATTAGAGCTGTGGTGTTCCCCAACAAGTGGTATCAGAGCTGAAGGTTCGAAACGTAAGAAGAATTGAAGATTCAAGATGTGGAAAGAGCCGATAGTTCGAGACATGTGAATAGTTGACAGTTTGAGATATGGGAAAAAAAAAAGTTCGAGTTCGAGTTTTGAAGATTGAAGATTGGTTTGTATGAAGCGTGAAAACACAAGAGAAGAGAAGATGATTGTGAGACTTCCATTGTAGGTGGAGCCAAGCATGTCTAGCATGAAGACAGATTATTGATAAAATTTGAGTCAAGGTGAAGATTGTTGGGAATATTGACTCAAATCCCATAAGAGATTTGTTAGAGATTTGTTTGAGATTTGTCAGATATTGCTTGATGGACAAGAAGACTTGCAAAATAAGAATTTTAAGAGAAAGATGATTCTTAATAGGTAAGTTTGACTTGCAAGAGAAGAATTCTAAAAGAAAATGGATTCTTAATAGGCAAGTTTGACTTATAGGAGAAGAATTCTAAGAGGAGATGGATTCTTAATGGGCAAGTTTGTATGGTTATAAATAGGTGAAGTCTCTACAAGGTTAGGTATGAGAAAAAAGATGTAAGAGAGTTGTAGGATTTTGTGGGATAGACACCCTATAGGAGTATTGGGGCTCTACGTCTTATGGGTGTGTATGTTTGTTTGTGAGTGGACTAGAGGAGACTGAGAGGGTCCACATAGGTATGATGTATGAGAGCATATGGGTATGTGTTTAGTTATGTTGAAAGGGTGCACAAGGGTTTGGGTTTGTGTTTGTTTGGGTTGAGAATACTCCATAGGACTAGAGGATATTGAGAGTGTCTTATGAGTATTGATTGTTGAGTGAGGTTGATGATTTGATGTATGTTTGTAATTCTCTACAACTAGTAGATCTTGTTTCTCATCCGTTGATGTAAGTCAATTGGACCGAACCACGTTAAATTGTTGTCTCTTGTGTTTTTGATTCATTATTTGATTTCACTTCCGCTGATGTAATTGGATTGGAGGCTTTTAGCTCAACACCTTTGACTTCGAGAAGAGGGGTCTTCGAATCGCCAAGACCGTTGGCAGAGGTGGGAGATTCGACGGCGGATAAAGAAGCGTCGACGGGCCTAGGAGACGGCACGTGAGTAGAGCGGAGACAGGAAGAGAGAATAGGAGGGAGAGGAAAAAACAGAGAAGAGGAAGGCAAAGGTTTTGCGGTAAGGGACGGAAGAGAAGGGAGTGGTGGTGAAGCAGTGCACTGAACTTGGCAAGCCATTGGCAGAAATAAAATTATTGTTTCCTATTCGTTTTCCTTTTATTTGATTTTGTTTTTGAAGAGAGAAAGAAGCCGGTGGATTTGGATATGGACTTGGACTTTTCCAATGTGGAGGATTTACTCGTCCCGCGGTGATTGTAGCTGCTACAACTCGGATTTCTACCCCCTAGACTTCTAATAATAACTTTGGTGATTAGATATGTAATCTACCATCTATCTTTTCGTTTTGGGGTATTTATAACCTATCATGTAATTATGCAATCCTGATTCATAGTCTAAAACACCCAAAAATACCCACATATTTATATATATATAACTCAAAGGCCCCCAAAAATTAAACAAATTACACAAAAATTAACAAAGAAATATTACAAATAGAATATTAGTTCAAATGGCATCATCAAACAATATTCACATACAATAAGTAGTCGCCTGACCAATACAATTCCTTCCACATCTTAGCAGTGTGTACAAATAAATTAAAGCAGTTGAACATAATAAATTACCATTTGTAGCCACCAAGATCGAAGGTTTCACAGTAGACCTTCTTGACCTTTAAGTCTCGGGAAATTATCACCCAAACGAGCACACAGAAAAGAGAAGAACAGGAAAACAAAAGAAAAGGAATATTATGTAATTTGTTGGCTTTAAATCTTTCCTTTTATAGAAGAGATGAAGTCTTTCATTCTAACCCATTCTGCCTCAACGGTCTTCTCCTCCTCCTCAGCAACGTTGGCCTTGGCCTCATACTCTGGCCATTGCTTTCCCAATGCTTCCAGCTCCATTTTCAATTCCTTGGAAATTCTAAAAATTTGCTTCTGCTCAGCCAAGATATTCTCTCTATTCTTTTGTGCCTCATCAACTTGCTCATGGAGGGCAGCAATTTTTTGCTCCACCTGTTTCACCTCTGCCTTGGCCTCTTTGAATTTGATTAAACTACGCTCCAGATCACGGTTAAGGGTCAGCTTGACAGATTCCTTCTCAGTAAGGAGATTCCTGTCCTGCACTGCTTTTGCTGCTCGGTCTGGTAGTTCTTTAAAGTTTTCCTCCATGGCCAACAACTCATTTTTTTGCTCGATTGTAAGGGTAGAGGAACAATCAAAACTAGATAGGATCTTGAATGCTTGATTAAGTGGATAAAATTCTGAATCATAAAAATTAGCAGGGGCCATATTCAAGGCTTCCTCTATTTTGGCCAGAGCTTCCTTTGCTTCTTCTTGAGAAGGCACAGTGTTAGAGCGTGCAAGCTCAGACTCTAAGCTAGTAAAGAATGTGTCCATATCTTCCCCACTAGAGTCTTCAGGTTCAATGGTCTGAAATGGAGGAAAAGAAAGTAATAATCGAGATACATATATGCGTAAATATTAACAACATGGATGATTTACCTCACTCTGGTTAGCAGTTGGCAAGTTTTGGTTGGTAGAATTTGCCTTATCTTGCCCTGGAGGAGATAGAACAGCAGGAGCTGCAAGAATAGCTGGTGAAGGAGTTGTGGTTTCTTCTGGTTTTGTTCCTAACGTTTTCTGGTTGTCTATGGCTGCCTTGCACTTGAGTTTGTCGGAATCAGCTTCAACCATAAATTCGTGTGACCCCCAATAAATAGTCCTATTCCTATCAGTGGAAATATCGGCTTCAATTAAGCATGCATCATCCACGAGGTAGCCTCTTTTAGGGTCGTGCAAGTCTCTGAGAGGTAAGAATGAAGTGAAGCCCCAATCCTTCTCCCTGGCGTTAAACTCATGCTGAGTGTCTGCCAAAAGCAGGAGTGTCAGTAAATACTAACCACTTTGAGTTGATGATAAAATTCTAAGAAAGAAAAAGGCATGGATAATTTATTTGGCAAGTGGTAATTGCCTGTTTTGACCGTGCCAAAGCCTCAAAAAGAAGCCCAGCCTTCATGCATTTACCAGTTACCACCTAAGCCAGGGCCTAGGGGCACATAAAAAATATATATTCATCCCCAAACAGGAAGTACAAAATGGCCAAAATAGAATAAGATAGGAACCATTAGCCAAGGAATACGAATTACAAAAGCAAAAAGAAGCTGAACAAAGAATGAAAAGAGATTTAATCAGGAAAACCTAGTAATGCAAAATGAGAAAAAACAGGACACAGCACAGAATGGCTCTTCTCTTTCCAAAATTAGAAGACGCGCATATTCATTACAAAGATATATGATCAAAGTAAAAAGGCCTCAAGTAAAGTAATGTACTATAAAGCCCATATTTAATATAAGATCAAGGGAAACATACTGTGGAAGACAAACAACAGGCAAAATATTTTTTTCCCCTTAGTGAAACCTTTCATTTCTAGTTTTCTAGCTATCCGTATCTATATATATACTACGATCATATCTTATATATAAGATTATTGATAGGATAAAATGATAATTATTTTATATTATATTTGATTTGTATCTAAAGAGAGGGATATGAATTGTAAGAAGGATTAATATCCTCATGGCATAAAATTATTCAATCCTCCTTAAATGGAAAAGATTATTTTTAATTTATATAATTAAACTTACATATCCAATTGTACCCTTAAAAATTATATTAGTAATTTAAATTATATAAACTTTGAGGAAAAATAATTTTGACAAATAAATAAATTATCTTATTTTAATCTTTATATACATCAAACACAAAATAAGATGATATCATTTACTCTAATCCTATTCATAATATTATCTTATCATATTCTATCATAATCTTGTATACCAAACATGACTTATATGTAAAAGTGTCAATTGAGTGGATGGGCACATAGAGTAGAATTTGAGTTAGATCATTTCAGATCATGTCATTTTGGATTTGAATCTTTTGAATTTGACACTCATTATTTGAGTTTAGGTAATTGGTTTTGGGTTATTTCGAGTCCAAATTATTAAGTTTTAAAATTAAATTTATTTAATTTTGAGTTAGGCTTTCGAGATGTTTGATTTCAATTATTTTATAATCATGTTTTATTTGAATTCAAGTCATTTCACTTTTGAGTTAGATGGATTTGAATTTTTTTTTTTTTTTTCAAAACAAGTTAGAGTTCGAGTTTGGGCAAATTGTAGGGGTTTTTCAAATTCAGTTCAGTTTTGATAGCTCTAACCGTATGTAAATGTGGATTAAAGGTTGTGAAACTTTAAAAAAAAAAAAAAAAAAAAAAAACCTAAACTATCTTTTGCTTTCATTCAAATTTAAACTATGTCCATTTTTATATCATTGGAAATAAAATTTATAATATTTTATTTATTCATAAAGGTTTTATCCTCGATAATAGGGATGACAATAAATTCGATCCGTTTATGTTGAATTCGGATTGTTATAAATGGATAATAACAGATTTAATAAAAGTTTATTATTTGTGACGAATTAAAGCGGACAAGAATAATATCTCCTAAATATTCAATATCCGAATCTATTTAAATTTAATAAATAATAATAAATATCCGAATTTATTACTCATATATATAATATACAAAATTTTATACTTGTAGAAAGTTTTGGATTTTAAAAAATAATTTTATTTATTATTAATTAAAAGTGAATTTGAATTTTAAATTAAATTTTTATTTATTTTATATTTTAATAAAAATTTAAATAAATATATATTTTGATGCACTCATATATTTAAATGGATAGCATTTATTTAATTGAATTCAATTTGGATAATGATATTAAACTTAAATGAATATTTAAAATAATTCAGATATTATTAATATTAAATAGATTCAGATATGAATATCTCAAAAATAATAGATATCCATTCCGTTACCATTTTTACTCAATAAATAGCATCCAAGAATTAAAAGTTATTAAAAACTCATATAAAAAGTAATTAACTTAAAAAATAGTAAATCTCATTAAATAATTAGTTAAAAGATTTTAACTAAAAATATTTCTCCTATTATTTCAATTGGATGTTGCAAAACAATATTCATTTTCCAAAACAAAAACAGTTTTTCAATATTATATTTGTTGAAATACTAAAATAGTATTTGGTTTTGGAAAACAAAGACAGTTTCTATTTTTATTTTATTGAAACATGAAATATAAAAGTAAATATGTATTTGGTAATGAAAAATTAAAAAAAAAAAACATTTTTAAAAAAAGAATGAAAATAGAGTCAAATATGAAAACAAAAAAAGATATTTTTAATTATGAAAATAAAAAATTTTTACTTATGTTTCTACTTATGTTTAGAAAGTTAAGAAGTTGATTGATACTTGAATATTTTTTAAAGTTATTATTAATAAAGGAGTAGACCAACTTACTCTGATATAAATTATTTTAGTTTTATATTTTTTTAACAGTTGATTTTAATAAATTTAAAAAATTAGAGAAACAAGATAAAAAAAAGATTTAATTTCATTCTTTGGATCCATTAAAATCAATGATTAAAAAAATATAATTTTTTTTTAGTGTAAATTGATTCCTCTCCGTTAATAAATATATATTATATATTTATAATTAAATATCATTAATAATAATTATTTCCATAATTACTAATTTTTCTTTCGTATTTTTATAAAACAATTTTTTATTTCATTCACCCAATATATTTTCTAGAAAATGAAAGATAAAAAACAAAAACTATTTTTAAAAAATAAAAAAATAAAACAAAAAAAAAAAATTTCAACGAAATAGAGTCTAACTTTTGTTTTTACAACTTTTAAAGATAATATTTTAAAATAAGAACAAAATACCTCATCCCTAAAACTTTGTACCATTTGAAAATTGGACATTGAATTTGGAATGGATAGAGTAAATAGATTTCGAAATCTATAGAATGCTCAATTTTTTAGTCAAGAAGAAGTAAGATCATGAGAATAAATTTAAGTGGTAGAGTAAAATACCTTTTGCAATCGAACTTTTACGATCAATTTGGTTGACGACAGCTAATCTGAACTGCGCATATCTACTCCATCCGTAAGGCAAAGTTGCTGAATCTGCAACATCTACATAAATTGATAAACAATCCACACGGTTCCCTTTGGGAAAGATAAGAAGTCGCCTGTCAAAATATAATTGCACATCTAATCATTGATAGATAAAAAAAAAAAAAGGAAAGTAAAATATAACCAACAAAAGAAGATCAAAATTACCATCGAGTGTCACCGACATCGAAATTTTTGGAGTAGAGCTTCTCGTCGGCAATACTCGAGAAATTCTCGATCCTCCATGTGAATTTCCTCGGTTGTCGATTAATATCCATAGACTGCCTATCCACTGCACTCGAAAAAGTTTAAAAAGAAAAAGTTAATTCAAAGGCTTAGTTTTCTTTCCATTAACAAAGAATTTCCATTAACAAAGAAAATGGAGCATTAACAAAGGAGGTAAAACGGAGGACAAGGATTAAAAGGTGAAGCTATGTATATACCTTTCTTTATCCATTAGCAGATGATCTGTGCTAATAAAAGATGCTATCTAAGTCTTCTCTGACTTAGATATTTCTTGGTCTTTTCTTTCTTTCTTTTTTTAAAGCATATTACTTAAAACTACTTAGCCGTTAAGCTAACTTTTTTTGACTTTTTGCTTTTAAATCGTGTATTAAATTCAGCGATGATAATTTAAAATACATTTAATAACACAAAAAGGATAAAAAGTAAATGAAGAGAATATAAATTAAAATTTTAATAAAAAGAAAAAATATATTTTCATTTTTTATTATTAATATAAATTATAATATATAATTTTTATATAAAATATCATATCAATATATAAATTATTAATATTTTACATAACATAAATATATAAATTATTAAATTTAATTAAAGTATTAGAATCTTTGAAAAATAAAAACAAAAGAAAATAACGAGAGAAGAAAATAGCAAAATATGAAAGAGCCTTTTCTTTGTTTTTTTTGGCCAAGAATATATGAAAGGGCAACAATAATCCCTATAGCACAAAAAATAATAATTCCTTTTATTCCTTCAAAATAAGTACCATAAAAATGGTTTAAAAAATGAGTAGTTTTCTATTCATTGATATAAAAATTTTAAACTCAGAAAAAAAAAAAGTAAAGAGTCGACAAATATTTTTGTTTATGGAATTATAAGTATAAGTTATAAATTACAATCAACTATGATATTAATATATAAAAAAATTTTGAATAATCAAACAAATAAATTAATAAATTAGAATATAACTAAACAAATTTAACATAAAATTAAATCAAATTTACATATAATACGACTTAAACTTAGGACTTCGTAGTTTTAAGGCTTCCTCATTTCTATTAAGGAGATGTTTAGTTTACGAATTTTTAAATTTCAAGAGAGAAAATGATAATAAAAAAAAATGTATAATTCTTAAATTGTGTGATTCATAGGTTTTGTTAACTTAGGGGATGTCAAATTTTTATGTTTAATTCATAAGAATATGAGATTAACTAATAAAATTTTTTGTTATATTATCTTCGATAACAAGTGAATAACACATTATATTTATAATACTAACACGTGAATAATACATGACACATGAATAATTTGTTGTTTTTGTTGAAACTAATTAATTCTGATAAATAATTTTTTATATTTTAAACAAATATAATTTTATAATTCTAATTACTATTTTAACGTTTATTTGGCTTCATGGTAAAGTCGACATGAAGGTTGAAAGAGGATGGTAATCCCCCCTCTCTCTAGGGTTTCCAAGGGCTCTATTCCTAGAATAAATTTTATGTGTAATAATATTAAATAAATGTATTTAAATTTTATATGTAATAATATTAAGTAAAATATCTTATAATTTTTTTTTCATATTTTCAATAAAGATTGTATTTTTATCTTAGAAGTATTGTCTTTTTTATAAAAAATATATATTTTTATCTTAAAAACATCATTTTTATTAAATTCTGAAATTTTTTTTACATATTTTCAACAAATTATGCATTTTTATCTTATAAACATCACCTTTTCAACAAAAAAATGCATTTTTTATTTTAAAAACGTCACTTTTGTTGAATTGTGAAAAATATTTTTTTATATTTTCAACAAAATATTGTGTTTTTATTTTAGATATATTGTATTTTCAATAAAGACTACATTTTTATATTAAAAACATCATATTTGTTAAATTCTAAAAAATAGTTTTTTTTCACTAAATATCGTATTTTTAATCATAATTTGTATGAAGATTTTTAATAATACTGTGTTAAAACGTAATTTTTGTTTTAAATATATTTTATAAAAAATTATTTTCATAATCTTTTATAAAAAAGTTATTAAATTTATAAGATAAAAAACATTATTTATATATATTTGAAAATATAATTAAGGATAAATGGGAAAAATTTTACTTTTCTTTCAAAATCTTAAAAAATTTCAAGGAGATGAGAGTTTTTTATTTCTTCTTACTTTTTTAGTTTTTGATATCGTTGAAAATCTTAAAAAGAAACTAAAGAATCACATTCTTATAAATAAAACTAAAGAATTAAATTACAAAAAATAAAATTTCTAAAAAGAAAGTTACTTTCCCTCGAACCAAACATTCCCTTCAAAAATTTTAACTTTCTCTCCCATAATTTTACATAATTTGATTTTTTAGTTTGGTTGAAAATATTTTTCCGTGTCAAGAATCTTATAATCTTAATAGTGTAAGAAAAAAAAGTAGGAAAAATAAAAACTCTCATTTTCTTTAAGGGGTTTTAGATTTAAAAGGAAAAGTAAAATTTTTTTTTCATTTGCCTTAATTTAATTATATTTTCATATTATATTATTCTTTCTAGTCTTTTAAAATTACAAAAATAAATATGACTTTTGTTATTATAATTTCAAAAAAGACAACATTTTAAGATTAAAAACTTAATTTTTGTTAAAACTATATTTTTATAATTCTATAATTTTGATAAAGATTATATTTTTAAAATAAAAAATATGATCTTTATTAAAATTGGGGGTGTAAATGAGATATATATGCTTCCAAACTACTTAGGCTTGACTTGAAAAAATCAAATTCGGTTCATTTATTGTTAAACTAAGTTCAAACTTGAATAACTAAAATTATTGAGTAAATCGAGTTTATATATTTTAATATTCGATTCGAATAATTTATAAAGTTAATTAAACTTTTAATTTAAATATATTTTTATTATTTTAATTAATAGTTTATTGTTTTATCTTTAGTATACCTAATTAAGCTTTTTATTTAAATATATTTATTATTTTAATTATAATTACTATTTTACCCTTAATATCTCTAATCTAAAAAACCCTAAATCATTTTCAAACTGGTTTTTCTCTCGTTCCCACATCCCACCGAACCATCTACAGTGTCTGTAACTCTTATTCTCCCGCGATCCTTTTCGATGTCAGCGTAGCAGCCAGCACCCTTCCACGCCGGCTTAGTCTCTCTCATTACCCTTATCCCACGCCGGCTTTGTCTCTCTCATCGTCGAAGGTCATAACTGACAAAAAATAACAAAAGCAAGGGTAGTTAGTATAAAACAAAGTTCCGAGGATTCCACCTTCTGAAAATTGAAAAGCTATAAAAAAATAAATGCTAGGGAAAGTGTTTTAATCCAAACAAAATCGCTTTCTCCATTGTTTTTTTAATATTCACTGCTCATTTTATTTCTTAAAAAGAATTCGAAAAACAAACACTTTGTTTCTAAGTTTTTCGCTCTGTTTTTCAAATTCTTCTTCTTAATCAAGCTTTGTAGCTCTGACTCGGAGGTAATCTTTGATTAACAACTGATTTTTTTTTTTCTAATAACTCAACTACTGATCCAATGCAGGTGAACTAGCATAGCATAAAGTCCTTGAATGAGATGCGATCCCCAGTTGGTCGCTGATACTGTCAAGTGTACACTATTTTTGTAATTTTCAATTGTTTTGTGCAATATGATGGTTGAGGTGGTGAGGTGGCTACTGTTGTTTGGGTAGATGAGCTATGGAAATGGAAATGGTGAGGATTAATTTTTTGTTATGTGGGCAATCCCACTTAATAAAGAGCAAAAAAAAAAAAAAAGGAAAAAGAAAAAGGCAAGACACCAACAATATGTGGGAATAGTAAAATAAATATATTCCCTTTGCGTTCACCATTTATGATAAAAAAAAATTGTAATTATTATTTTGCTTTAGTTAATTGGGATTCAAAGTCAATTTAGACTTAAATCATTTTAGAGTAGGATCAATTCATGTTTAGATTCTTTTGGTATTAGATTATTTTAATTTCAAGTTATTCAAATTTAATCAAATAATTCGAACTTAGATAGTTTGGATTTAGTATTAAGGTTATTTAAGTTTATTTTATTAATTTCTAAATTCAAATAAATATAATTAAATTATATTAATAATTAAAATATTAAAATTAAATGAATTCAAAGTCATTTGTTAATAACATAAAATTAATTTTATTCATAATAAAAAATTAATTTTGGTTATGAGTTGTGTCATATATATTGATTTTATTTTGTGTAATTCTTGAGATATTTTGAGTGTTAAAGAATTTGAGTTAAGTTTTATTTTTTTTAGTTTGTAGATTATAGGCAAGTAATGATAATTTTCTATTTTAATTTGATGGTCTTATGTGTTATAATTAGGTTTATTAACTTATTATTGATTTTTTAAGTTTATGATTTTTTTTAATGTGATTATTTATCTATTTCATTTTTTTATTATATTGTTAGAGTGAAAAAATAAGAATTTTTTTTCAATTTTTCGAACATAATTAAGAAAAATAATTGTAGACAAAAGATTTTGAAAAGATAGTTTAAGTTATTAAATGAAGTAATATTTATATTATATTTATTATTTTAATTATTTAATAAAAATAAAAAATCTTTAATTTAATATTTAATCACTTCACATAATTTACGTTGTTTTAAAATTTTGTTTATTCACTTTTAAATTAATTTAAATTTCAACATATAAAATGAGTTTTTCGAATTCAAATCAATTTTATCAATTCTATACATATGAATGTTTACTTACATTATTTTTTTTGTCACTTATTGTTTTATGTTAAGTGGATTAAATTTGATAAATTTAACAAATTTAAGTGATTATGTTGAAACAAATTAAATTTTCATGACTAAAATGAGAATTTTGTGAAAATTGAATGATTATCGATGTAATTTAGTCGATATTAGAGCTAAAAACTTTATTAAAGAAAACATGAAAAGCTTAAAAAAAAAAAAAATTGCATTATTATCCTAACCATCATGAATCATTGGATGGATAAGAAAAAAGAGAAAGTTGGCCGTCAGATCGAAAGTGATATGAAAGCCCTGTTTCACAAAACCAACTTCTCATTTCATGGCGGCGTAACTCTGTAGTTCTCTCTCCCGCCCCACACTGCGATATCTCTTTACCCGATAACCCCTATCTCCAACCTTACCCCCTCTTTTCCTTTTGCTCTAATTTTATTTTTTTCCATATAATTTTGATTTATTACGCTTGAATCTTTAGATATGGCCGAGGAAGTTAACAAAACTGTAAGAACGATTTTTTTTTTCTTTTGGATTGTTTTCTGAACAATTCTTTTTTGATTCGATTGCCGGCAAAGTTGAAAAAGTGAAATCTTACAGTGTTAATGACTTTGTTGGATAACAGGCATTTTTAGAGATTCAAGGTCGAATGATTGAGCTCACTGGCAAATTGAAACAGGTAAGTATGATTTTCCTGTAGATTAGTATTATGGCTCTATAGCCTGTTGCTTGGAATCTATGTTTTCTCATGGCCGAAGATTTTATCTGATGGTTTTTTTTTTTTTTTTAACAAAGGAACTAGTAGAAATAGATTGAAACATAGACTTGATTTTTCTCTATCTCTCTGTTGACCTTCTGTTGAGCTAACTTGAAACTTAAACAAAAACTGCTACGAGTTTGATTTAAGTAAGCATATTCTTTGGTTTATGAAGCGTGGAGAATGTCTTCTTGAACTTGAACCTAGGATGACCACAAACACAGTCGAAGTATAGTTTCATATTAAAGAGGTTTTTTATTTTATTTATTTTTTTGGCTGGGATAAAGGACAATATGTCCCGTTGAAGCTACATAAGATGTGGTAATAGTTATTGGAGTAGTGGGAAAAAAAGTAGATTTTATAATTGAGTGATATTGTTGGAAAAGCATTTGCAAACTTCAAGTAAACCCATGGAGGGGTATACTCGATTGAGCAATCGCATGATTGGGCTATTTGTATGATTCCTATTGTTGTGTGACTTCAAGCAAACTTTATATTTTTGATAATTGATCCTATGTCATTTTTAAGGATGTCCAGCTTGGGGGATGGCTGCTGCCCCCTCAAGCTGCAAAAATTTTTGCCTTACAGTTATCCTTGTATGTGTGTGCCTAATTCTAGTTCTGAAATACTGTGTTGTGTGATTTTACATCTGAACAGTCTATCTTTCTTTTGCATTTTAGAGTGTATGGAAGTTCTTTGAAATATAAATACAATTATTTCACATACAGTGAAATGTTAATCTGAAATTGAAATTTTTGTTCAACGTCAAACTCGATGGGTTATGCACTTCTCTGGGATATATGGCAAAGAGCTGACCTCCTGACATTTTGTCATATTCCTGCATCCAAGCAATTCTTGGTTGGGTGAATCTCACTGTTGAGTGCATCCTCAATCTTGCATCCTCGTGTGTATTGCTCGATGCTGTGCATTTAAAAAAAGGCCCTCAAAATAAATTTTCTTTTGGTGTTTAGGTGCAAGAGTGGCTGTTGTAAAATTGATGTCAGTTTTATTGTGATCTTTTACCCCACTATAATTTTCTCTAAAGACTTGTCAAGTATCTTTAACCTCTGGGACTGAAGTGAGTGAATCCTATGACTTCTAGGTGCAAAACCAGATGCGAAACAAGGAAGGAGAAAAGAAGCGTGCTTTCTTAACGTTGGAGGAGCTAGGTCAGCTGTCTGATGATACAAATACATACAAATCCATAGGTATGATATTCAAGCTGTGATTTTGCATTGGCATGAGATATTAGTGTTCTGTTTACTAATTTAAAATGGTTTTAAATTCACATGTAAGGATGCTAGGTTTAGGATTCACTTTAGTTTCAGAACTGGCATTATGTATAGGGCTGTTTCATATGTTGTGACCTATGAGCAGCTATTGTTGCTGTATTATAGATTGATTGTGCCAAATCTGCAGAGCAATAACCTGTTTGTTTACTTTTTTGCAGGGAGAACGTGAGTTCCCGATAACTTAATTAAATGTTAATTATGGTTAATGGCCTGTGAGGAATAATACATGAAATGGACTTATGAACATTTTTGTTTGGCTCTCTTTCATCATCTGTCCAGGTTTGTATTAGAGCCTAAGTCAGTTTTAATGAATGAACAAGAACAGAAGCTGAAAGATAGTGAGTCTGCAATTGCTTCATTACAGGTAGTTTTCTTTGTTTGTCTAAACCTTTTTGTGCATGAACTTTCTCCTTTTGAATAATCTGTTTTCATTTGTGTCCATTTTGCTTTTTGAACTGTTATTTTCCTATTTTATTACTAGTCAGAACCATACCTTTTGTTGGATATTTTACTTATTTATCAAAATAACAAAGTCTGCTAAACTACCATATGTTTAATGGGTCGTCTCACCATGTTTTACTCTTATTGTTTTGTTATATGCTATAACTACCGTATTTTAAGATGTCATAAGATTTTTTAGTGATTTTATGGCTTCTATTAGTCGGATTTATTATGGTTTTTGTTTAATCTTAAAGTTTGTTCCTTAGCTTAATTAGTTTTAAGAACTTTACAAGTTGTAAAAGGCGTTCTGTTGTTTGTGCCCTTTAAGTTTTACCAAAAAGGGAAAGAAAGAAAGAATAATGTAAATGCACATCTTTTGTACATGTAAATGAATTAACCAAATTTCAGTATGACTATTTGTAGAAAAGTTTACGACCTAGTTGTTGATTGGTGGCTAGATTAAAGTGGCTGTAGGCAAGTTTGCAACTTTCTTCAAATGAGAGTGAATTCTTAATTCTGAATGGCGCATTATGTGTTGCATGGTAGTTGGTTTAAGAGCTACAAATGAGCCTAAGTAAGCAAATAGTTACCTGCCTTGGCTTTGCTCTCATTTGCATTCTCATTCTCATTCCTGTCTTGAAGTTGTTATTCAACTCTAAGCGCAGCTTTTACGGAAACATCACCAACTGTAATATAATTGACAAATCAAAATTTAATATTGTATGGGGTCCATCAAAAAATTCTATAAGACCCATACTTTTAAACGGTGTACAACTTTGAAAGTAACCTAATTTGTTGATTTTCGACAGACCTCGAAGGAGTACTTGGAAAAACAGATAGCCGAGGTGGAGAACAACTTGAGGGAGCTGCTGCAGCAAGATCCAGGTCTCGCTCGTCAGATAATGTCCATGAGTGTAATTTGATACTCTCTCTCTCTCTCTCTCTCTCTCTCTCTCTCTCTCTCTCTCTCTCTCTCTCTCTCTCTCTCGTTGAAAATATGTTGGTTTGTTGTGTTCCTTTAGCACTGTGAGCGAAAGAAAAACGCCTATCATAGCCCATTTTGGGTTTAATTTGCATGGCTGTATTCTGACTTGGCTACATCAGCAACTTCTTGTTCTTAACTCTATCTATCTCCATTTCTTGCTTTTCTGGTGTGAAGTAAAGAAAATCGGAAAAAAAAAAAAAAGGCTTGCTTTTTGGTACGTCAGCCATTAATATGTCCTGATTGCAAATGTGTCAATTGTTTTTTTTTTTTAATATTTTTATGAGATTTTAGGAGGGTTAATTACGTGATTTCAAAGATTAATTATACTTTTTTGAGTAATATTAGTGCCAAATAATATGAGAATAATCTGGCTTTTTTTTTTCATTTATTTATATTTTTACTAAAAAAACCACTAGCTATAAGATTTAGGATTTTACTTAATTCAAATACGGGTTTGTGATTTAGCATATAAAATAGATAAGAACAATAGCACCAAAAAAAAAAAAATTCTGTATGAAAAATCATGGATCAGGAAATTATAACACAGATTTCTAAAGTGTATCAATAAATATCAAGGATTTAATAGATGGCTACTGGACCAATAAATAATTTTGTTAAGCAAAAAATAAATAATTAAATAATAAGGTACAAAAGTTTGATTTTAGTTCATGAACTTAGTTTTAATGAATTTAATATTTATATATTTTATAAAAGATCAAATTAAGAAACACTTTTATAATTAAATTCAATTGGTGGCTTTTTGTTGATAACATGACATACTAACATGAATTCTTCCCCACATGCCACATATTAATATGAAAAAAGAAACTTTTATTTTTGAAGAAAAATACTTATTAAATTTTTTTTAATTTTTAAATATTAATTATTATTTAATTAAAATAAATATGATATTTTTATTAGTATGTGTTATGTAGCCAACAAATTAATCAATTTCAACAGGTAAGTAATCACCAATATGTCATATCATTCAAATTGTTATTAATTATTTTTAAGTCAATTTTTAATAAGAGTGTAAGATTTAAATTCATTAAAATGAAAAAAAAAATTTGAAAAGACAAATTTGAAATCGTAAAGATATCAAAATTCAAACTTCAATCTTAAAAACCAATGAATTTGTGAAGATTTATTTCAAATAAAAATATCTAGTATTCCGTTCTAACTCCACTAATAGGATTAGCAAGTAGTTAGATACCCTTTATGGTATTTAAAAAAAAATTAACCATATATATAATATAAAATTCAAATATTTTACAATAAATGTCAAGTATTTTTTACATAAATTCTAAACATCTCTCTTAATTTTATTATATAAAATTCAAAAGACTTTTGGTTATCCAATATTTATATGAATTCATGTTTTTTTTTTAATTTATTTTCACCTGTTTATATTTTTTAAAGTCATTATTTGTTAAAATTTATTGAAACTTTTAATTTTTTAACATTTATATTTTGACATTTGATTTTCTTATAACTTATGGTTTTTTACACATATTATTGGTGTTGTTCTTCACATGAATTTGGCTCATTGTTAAACAATTAGTAACAAGTTCATAAATTATTTTTTGTTACACATATTTAAAGTTTTTTTTTTGTTTTAATATTTTGTATATTAGCAATATAATAAGAATGATGGTTTGTTTAAAAATTTTTAACTTTTTTATTATGTTTTGAATTAAATATCATTTTAATATTTTTTCTTTAGCAAAGATCTATACGAGTTAGTTTGTGGACAAGTTTCTTTAAGAATTTGAAGAAAAGCAATTAGTTTTAGGAATCAAACCTTAAAGTATTGTACTTATTTATTTGATTGTTAAGAGTTTTCGAGCTTGGTAAAAAATTTACGAAATGAATTTCAAGTTGTTTTAGTTATTTCTTTGATTGCTAATAGTTATCATTGTATAACATTTTAACAAAGTATTGGTTCCCAATTTTTTTTCATTGTAGTTATAATTTGATTTATTTAAAACTGTTGTGATTTTTGAATTCATAGTTTCTTTTGTTGATTTTATTTTAATTTTTCTTAAGCTTGTGGTAGATGTTTGAGTTAAATTATGTTTTTCCTACCACAAATTCATTTAAAAGTTTAGTACTTATTCTTTTAAGATTTTTTTAATCTAAAAGTTAAAAGTATAAATTTTTTTGTTCTTCTAAAATCAATATTTTAAATTATTAATCTTATTTATTTTAGTTTTAAAAAAATTTTTCAATCTTCAATTCAAAGTTTTTTTTTATTGTTTTTATCTATTTTTTATTGTTTTAATCTTTTAGAAAAATTAGCTTTAGAAAAATTAGCTATCAGTATTTAGTCCTTTCTATGAAAAAATTTTAAAGAAATCTTGAAGGTGGATCCTTTATAAAAACCCTATAGGTTAAAAATATTTAATTTATTTTTTATTGTTTTTATAAATTCATGTTTTAATTTATACTTTTAAAGATTTTTTAAAGTGATTTTAGGATGTTTACCTTTTTATGGATGAAAAGGTAAGAAAGGTTAAATATTTTAATTTGTTTCTTGGTTCCTTATAAGATTCATGTTTTATTATTTTTGTTATGATTTTAAAGAATTTTTAGAGTGATTGAAACTTTTAATTTTCACACTTTTTGATAATAAATTTTATTTATTTATAGTAATGATAAAATATAAAATTCATTTTTATTTTGATAATTGTATCATTATTATTATCAATTTGTTAAATTGTAATTATTGTTTTTTACATTCCAAAAATTATTTGTTTGTTAGATATATTAATTTATTATTGATTGTTTGAATAATGTTACACTTTAAAGGTGCATACAATTTGGTTTCTAACCACTTTATTTACAAGTCAATTTAGTTATTTATAGAAATTAGATATTAGTTTAATATATTTTCTTACTTATTATTTAATAATTTCATTGAAAAAAATATAATATATACTTTACCGAGCCATTTCTAAAATAAATATAAAGGGTATGTTATAAATTACATTATATTAGAATATATATAGTATAAAATAATAACCTTTTAATTGTATTTTGTCAAATTTCATGTAGATATGAAAATCAGAAAAAAGATCTACTTATTATAGTTTTTAATAAAGTTTTTAATTTAATCATTTATTTGACAAAAAAAATGATTTAATTTTATGAAGATGTAATGATTTTTCAATTTTATTGTGCAAACTTTTATAATGCCAAAAGAAAATATTTCATTATCATAATAATTTATGATTAATATTATATATATTTAAAAAATTAAAGTAAATAGTTGACATTTATTCAAATAAAGATATTAAAAAATGAAAACTTAAATAATAGGTATTACTCATGTAAATAACTCATATTTTTTATAGTCGATTTTTGTATAATTTATTTACAAAAAAAAAAAAGTTGAGCACGAGTAATTTTGAATTAGTAGTAAATAATATAACACTCAAAACTATGATTTTTTTTTCTTTTCTTTAAAAACTCTACAAAATATATAAGTTACATTTAATAATGAGTTATAACTAAAATACATTTTATTTTTATATGTTCATGTAGCCTATTATTAAAATATAAATATTCTATGAAAATTGAAGAAATAATAATATTTTATGATTCTTTAATATTTGCTTGTCATTTTTATTGAATTTCACTAAACTTCTAATTTTTTCAAATAATAACATTAAAATATTAATGGAAATAAATAAATATTATAATTGAAAAGTTATTTTAATAAATACTTCTAAAAGTTTTCATTTGAAACTCCTTCATTTCACATTTATACATATCTACAAGATTGTTTTGTGATAATTAAGTGATTTTGAATAATGAATTTTTTTATTTACCATTTTTAATTCAAATACGATTAATTTTTTTAAATTTTTTCTTTAAACTTTATTTTTTAAAATAAAATATACATATATTTTGGTATCTAGTGTATTAATAACCACATAAGTTTTTTCATTGTTGATTGTAATTAAAATTAGTTTATTTAAATTCCAAAAAGAACAAAATTGAGTTAAAACCTTCATTATACTTTTCAAGTTTTTATTCATCAAATGAATAGAAAATATAATTAACTTCATACACAATAAATCTTATCACGATGGGTTTCTCCAGTTAGCATATTAGATTTTGATAAAATTGTGTGACATTCAATAGCCTTGTTCAATTCCAAGGAGTTTCAGTTCTTATATGTTGATAAAACCTAATAGTTTCTTTATCATAATTTGTAATATCAGAAGATGAAAATTTTAATTAATGTCTCATAAGATTTTATTCTTTCTCTAAGATTAAATTAGTAAAATTAATTTTCTTTTTATTAATTTTAAAATTTATTATTTTTTAATACTAACTTTTTATTACACTAATTAGTAAAAATTTTTAATAAAATCCCTTTTTTTTGTAATTTTTCTTAAAATTTCGTTTTTTCCGATAAGTTATATAACTTTTTGAAAATCAATTTCTGGTAAATTATAAAATTTACCAAATATGGATATCTAAAAACTTGTGAAAAATGATAATTAAATAATTTTTCTTACAAAATTTTGAGAAAAAAGGAAAAGGTGAAGAGAAAAAACAAGGGTGTAAATAGAACCCTCAAAATTTTAAGTTAATTCAATTTTCTATTATTTTAAACAAAAATAAGATTTTTTCAATATATATTAACTGTTAAAATTTTATTATTATTGAACGAATAGTTATACATTTTAAATTTATTTGAAATTTGGTATGCATGACCTAGATGAATAGAGCATAAATTTCAACGTTGGGATTAATAAAATATAAATTATATAAAAATATATGAAAAGATATGGAACTAATTTATTTTTAAACATGTCTAAATGGATCTTTTTTCATTTTAGGTTTTCGTATTTTATTATTTAATAATTTGAAAAAAAATTTGAAAAAAAATATAAATCAACCTTATTTAAAAATTTTCATCTTATACTAATCATTTAAATTTAATTAAAGGTAGAAAAAAGAAAAATCACAAATCATAATTATATTAATTTTAGTATTTATGTATTCCATGAATTGATGATTTAAAAATTAAATAGATTTTTCTACTATTTCACTTTTGTTTCTTTTTCAGATTTCATGATTTCTTTTATCGTTCATAATAATTTTTTCTTCGATATGATTATTATTTTA